CAAAAACAAACAAACCTATCTGAAGACGGCAGCAGATTAACAACTAAAATATAAGATATAAACTAATTAGTATGTAATAATAAACAAGTCATTAATAAATAATTAAACTAAACTGATTATATAGGCTATTAACAATGACTATGACTGACATTCAACTCCTAAAATTTGTCATAAGTACTTAGTAGTTTTAATGAGGAAGTATCTAACGCGATCTTTAAATATCATAGTTTAATATTTATCACATGTTATAATGGTAAATAACTAAAATTTGTTTAAAGACAGTGTTCACATTAAAAAAATGGGTGCAACATAAGAGACTATCATAGAAAAACTGCGCAAGTGGGTATATTGGGTTCGTTACAAATGTACAAAATAAGGGTGTAGTAATAACTACTTCATTCATGCAAATCCATCTATGGTAGTTCCCCTGTCACTTGTGGGCAAACTCCCCATCTTATAGACCCTTGTTCTTTGGTTTATTATAATATCTTTAAATAAGATAACTGAATACTGAAATACAATTATATTTAGGCCCAGTGCTAGCAATTTTGCAATCATAGGCAAGTATTAAATTTGGCGCCTCCTTCAGTTTTACTTTCAACTGTCAACAAACCCTTAGAGTTGCAACTCAAATGAATTAGATTTCTTTCTGAGAGCATGAAGAAATTAAACATTAAAAACATACCAGCTCTCCTGCGAACCTCAGAAACACGTTCCTCGGCCGACTTGCAACGAGTCAAAATATCATTGTTTGATTTTTTCATATCAAATTCCCCAACTTCTAAATGTCTTCGAGTCCATGGGGAGAAATCGTTCCATTCAACGTGACTTCGTTGTTGTAAGATCGCTAGGGCTCGTTTTGTTTTGTCCACCATTCCCAGAATACAATTCAACATCTGACATAAAAATGGTTCGATATATGATAGTTATGTTTACAAAATTAGAAAATGAGACAAAATTAGTCTATTGAGGAAATCCCTGCAACAATTCCAAATCGATGTACAATGTGAATAAAAAATTTCTTTCATGGTGAATTATAATATATAATAATAATATAAAAACTCGATAACTTTTCTCGAAAAGCTTTCCAAACAATACACCAAGGTTTGACATTTTCAACTAATTAAATCTAGCATATCGACATCTTACCTTTTCAAATATGTTCGACTAAGTTAATGATCCAACAACTTACAAATAATTCATGAAACAAAATGTCACATAAGCTTTTTTCACACAGATAAAAACAACACGTACGGTATGAATGTTTCTCCATTCATCTTCCATGTCTCGTTCTTCTGATACTTCTCTTTGAAAGGTTCCTAAGAAGTAAAAATATATCTTTTGTTAGATACTTGTATTTTAGACGTTTGGTGAACAAACGATAATAAGTAAGAACACAGTAACCACAAAAAAGGTGAAATATCGTTTGTTTGTTTTTATTTTAGCACGTTTAACGGGCGCTTTAAGGCATAAGGAAGAAGTCTTATCACACTTACCACTGAAATACTTTAAGTTGTAGTAATTACTTTTAAAGATACTAACGCAGTTGTTTTTATCTTCATTCTCCTAACAATTTCTTAACTTTTTTATGGTCCCTTGTCTTTTCAAGGCATTATATCACTAACTACTTCATGAACCAGGCTGTTTCTTTACCATTCTGAAATTTACGTCATCTCGATCTTCAGGCGGTAGTAAAATATGCTTATTAATATTTTTAATACTTCATTATTGCCAAACGAAAGGTGCAATCTGTAATGTTATTTTTTTCATACGAAACCCGATTTCATTTCTTACATAATTTAAAGTGCTTTGTTAAATAACACTACAAATAATAGTAGGATATTTTCACTTTTTGTCATTTTTCATTTGTTTTAGTGTTTCATTAGTTTTTAAAATAATATTTGTTTGTTTGTAGTTAAGCACAAAGCTACACAATGGGCTATGTGTGCTCTACCCACCACGAGTATCTAAACCCGGTTTCTACGTTATAAGTCCGCAGACATACCACTTTGCCACTGGAAGACAATAGAATCATGAAGACAATAGCTTATCGTCGCATAAGTGTTTCCAGAATTGATGCATATATCAGTAGAAAGTGCGAGCTGAAATGCTCAAATCCTTAAAAGAAATTATAATAATTTGCACAGTTGTGAGGACTCTTAGTACTCCATGAACTGCTTGAAAAAATAATCATGAAACTCACGTTCATATCTCTCATACCGATCTCTTTCTCTCATTCTGAACACAGAAGAATCGTCGAACCTAAAGCTAATGTTAGAGTGCACGTGATTGGCTGTCACTGCAGGGCTTAGTCGAGATCCAATGTTGAGGTTCGGTAACGTGAGATGGCGTTTAGTTGGATAAGGACCTTCGGAGCTGGTGTCGCTATATCCGTTACTTTCAACTGGTCGCCTAAGATCACTTAAATAAGAACAAACAATAAATCTTAATAGCAGTTATTTTATTCCAGAAGAACACAAACAAAAAACCGGTTGTAACTAGTTATTTACATATACACACGCGATATTCAACAACTTTATTGTAAGAATTCAATCTCCGTTTCTTGTTCTCAGTATTTTTCTTCTACGTTTTACGTTAGCTTGTTTAACTTTGACATCCTCTCCTGTATCCTTGTCTCATCATTTTGTCAATCTCTCCTTCTCTACTAATATTTTTAATCATAATCCATAACTATCAAAATAAGTGATCTAATAACAATAAAAATAATTCAAATTGATCTCACCATCTCCTCTATGAATTAAGTATAATATTTATTTTGTATAACGTTATGTAAAATTGTTTTTCGCAGATACATTTCACTTCACATACAAAACTACTAAGATTAATACTAATAAGTGTGTTATTCATAAGCGTATTTCAATAATCCTTAATTCGAACATCGGATTTAAACTAATTAAAGGAATACACTCGCTATGGAAATAATTAAATGTGGTTTCTGAATTAATTAACAATAATATTTAATAATTTTCTGCAAAAATATTGAAATATTTCTAGTAGAGAATTATGAAGGAAAACGATAACGATTTTTTTTTTACAAATGACTTACCATTTTTTTTTCATAGAAATTAAAACTTTAATAAGATTTTAAAATAGATTACAAAACGATTGTAAAACTGAGCAAGAATATAATTCTCTAGTTCAATTGTAGGAAACTTTCTAGTTAAAGAATTTCTAATTAATTCAGGTTATTAAAATATAGGGCTGAGGAAAATTGTTAAGTTCGCACACCTAATTTAATATAAAGAAACAGATAATTATATCATAACGTATTTGCATCTATATCAAAACTACTAAGGCTATCTGTCGTCGCCTCTAATTTCGAACTGGGTATCAGTGTAATCCACCATGCACGTTATTGGATTGACTGTCCCACTTATAATGCACCCAAACCTTAAAGAACCGTAATATATTAATATTAGGGAGTAGTTAACCACTATTCTTGTTCTCAACCTGTCAGAAGGTGTTCGTCTTTTCCTATTTTCTTTGCTGTCTAGTTGGAATATCTCAAAAGGTTCTCCACTAGGATGCGCTGCTGAATCCAAAACGGCTTGTTCGTACTGTCTTAGATATTGTTGTGGTGTCTGTTTGGCTAGCCGAGCAAAATGTAGTATCTCGGAGTGTAGCATTGGCAAATGAGACTGAAAAAAGTTTAATTAAATAAAAGTTAGTCACTTCCACCCCATTAATGTTAATAGCATAACTTGACTGCACAATATATTAAAGTTATAGGAAGAATAAAAATTAATACATAAATTAAAATTGTCTCGTGTTCTATTTGGTCAACTTTCAGAATACTTCATAAAAAACTGACATTATTGTAAAGAAAACTATTTTATCTAATACAATTATGTCGTTCATTTCTTAAGAAAGGAGTAACAATAGTTATAAGTAGAACAGTAAATGTACTAACATGGTTTTATATGTACTTCATACTTCCTGATATTTGTTCAACAGGTGGTATTACGTTTTCTCATACTAACATAAAATTTTTAAATTACAATTTGCTTTACATTATATAATTAAAGTCATGCTTCAAACTTCTCAATTTTAATTAGGATAATTAGTTCAAAATAAAGGAAGAAGGCACACTGAAATCTACTCAGAGATTATATTTTTAAGGAAAGTGTACTTGAAAACAATCTGAATCACAATAACTGAAAAAGGCACATCATACTTTATAGCAATAATTGACGTAAAGAAAACTTTATTTCATCTAGAGCAGAATTAACTTGAGGCCACAAAGTTACAGAAGCCTACTGTAAAAGAGAAAATGAATGATTATTACCATAGTTTTAAGAGTAAACTTATGAAAATTTATTTAGCTTTTACACAAGCACTAACATAACAAAAACATCCTACATATGACCAGTAATACAGTATTAATTAATTAAAATTAATAATTAAACAAAGACATAAATTAAGTATTATGATATCATACGTTTTTAAAATATACATCGTGAAAACGATGCAATGACTCCGCCGTATCTTACAACCATAAATAACATTACGATGGTGTAAAAGCGATTCCGTAGTTTATGTAATTTTAAATTCAATGTTATAATACACTTCGTACCATACCTTCAGGAACGGAATAACAAACGGACGAAGAGGATAACCTGTAACATCTTGAACTTTCTGATGAAATTCCTCAATGGTTAATGAAGAATTCTAGAAGTAAAAACTGGTTTCAGTAAAATGAAATGGTATAAGACTAATTTTAGCAAATACAACCTTTACCGTACATTCCGATAAAAAGTTTCAATGAAATGGTATAAGACCATCGGAATGTACGGTAAAGGTTGTATTTGCTAAAAATTGTTTCTTTTAATCCAAATTTAGTGCATTTTACACAAACCATAGTTAGAACGAACAAAAAAATTTGCAACTTTACAACTACTCAGTTCTTAGAGTGTAAAGACATAGCAGTAATATTAGTAAAACGATTTGCAGCATAATATCATTTAAAGCTTAAACGAGTAAAGAAATTAATAGACTTTATCATTTTTTCTAGCTTTTTCCCAAAGTGATTGTTCATATTCTACGAAAATTAGTCTTATACCATTTCATTGAAACTTTTTATCGGAATGTAAGATAAAGGTTGTATTTGCTAAAATTAGTCTTATACCATTTCATTGAAACTTTTTTTTACACAATGGGCTATCTATGCTCTGCCCACCGCGAGTATCGAAACCCGGTTTCTAGCAGTGTAAGTACGCAGACATACCGCTGTGCCAATGGGGGACAAAGAAACTTCTAAACATGAAATAATGATATACATAGGTTAACTAAGTTATATTGAAACGATTATGTAGCCTCATCACATCGTTACAGTCCATATTGCCACGTCTGATATTGCTATATCTGATAATCATGTTTCTTGAAAATAACCATGCAGCGTAGTTTCCATTACGAAAAACTCCATTGTAAGGCTGTCATGTACAAAGAACACCACTTCTCCCTGCTAGCTTTTCAAAATCCACCTACTGTACGACAACAACGGCTTCCCACTTGCCTGTTTTAACAGTCCAATCGCACAAAAATCTGATGACTTTAACGGGAAGTTTTTGGATGGATACCATGAATACTCGTTTCATTTTTGAGCTGCTTGATGTATGCAACAGTTGAACAGGAGGTATGACTGAAAGCCTTATTTTGGTAAGCCTATACCCTGTTGGCATCGTTTACAGATGGAAATCCTTATTGATTATGGCATTTTTCACTGACCTTTTAGTTCGCGGATTATTACCTAACTCCAATATGCTGTACTTTGCTTAATACAGCTGAACTTGTTGCAGGACACTTTCTGGGAAGATCTGGTGTCCCAAGTTGATCCATTGTCCTTTGTTTTCAAATGCTAGTACGTAAAAGGATATCCTTTTCTTAAAAATATTTAATCCCTCCGATCGTTACGTCTATATATGATCTGAGTATATTAATATTTTGTGTCGGAAAGAGCTGTTACATACCCTTTCCAAAAGCGATGAATTTCCGATGGAATCACACTACCTGCGAAATGCCAAACAATGTTAAAATGTAGTTCTGATACTTTCGTTCAATCATGATTTTATATAGGCCGTGGGTGTCAAGTGATTTGCTGACTTGAATATGCAAAATAATTTTAATATAACGTTCTCAATAATTGTCTGCATTAGCAAAATAACACCAGTATCATACTCAGTGTTCCTAGACACCACAGTGCTTTGCATATTATTTTAATCCACTAGTGTTTATTTCTCTGCTGATAAATTCATTACTATGAAGAACAACTGAAAAAATCTTTTATAGATGTTTTTTTTTAAATTTGAGCAATGCCCAATAAATGCGATTATGAAAGTATATGTTTGTTTGTTTTCTGCGAAATTAGTGTACGTTACAAACGATAATCTGGGAAGTTCATGGACGATCGTACCCTGATCAAATATTTAATTGAATAAAAAACCAGTTAACATTATTTATATATTCGAAGGATACTTCAGAACAGAAACTTACCACTAAGCCCAAGATGAAAGCATGTACACGTTCTCCTACTTCCGGTGAAATTTCATTTCCAAACTGTTGAAGAGTTGATAAAAACCGTTTGAGTTTGCTCAACTGACGTATGTTACAAGCCAAGGGAACATCTGAAAATGGAATCCCACAAACCATGGTAGTAGAGAGCGGTACAGTAACCGGTGGGGATGGCGGTGTTTCTATACTGGTTGTGTGAGGAGAGCCTGTTCCAGTCATAGCTGCAAACAAACAAACAAAAAAAAACTTTTAAAAGTTTTCCTACACACACACAAGCAAAGTCTTTCGCAAGTTAACTATGTACTACGTGTACTGAAAAATCCCAACAAATTCTACCTGTGTGTATGTGTGTGTACACATTAATATATAATGCCTTATTAACATCATTCAGCCGTTCCCAAGTTACTATAAATATCTCTAATAAATTCAATACAAAACTCATATGCCTAGAAGTTTTCAATTTATCTTAAAAATTCCACGGAAAGACTATACTATTGTTAGTCTCAAGATTTATTTATGATAAACCTCAGAAATATTGATTACTTTCACAAGTTTATATAAAAATAGTTTTCTAAAAAAATATTAATAATCAATATTTGTTGAAATAAATCCTCCAAACGTTTCAAAGTGTAACTAAAATAAACTTGACAGGAATTTCCCGCTGCACAGAGTACTTTCTTTCTTCTGACTGAATGAAACTAAGCTTAACAGTTATGCAAGTGACTTAACTCTTAACACAACAAACAGAGAATACGGTTGCTATTTAATGAGTTTTTAATATTTCATCTTCTGGTATGAAAGGAACATAACAGTTTGTGTCGATATGACACGAAGTGTGGAGTAAGACCTTATTTCTGAAATTAGCGTAAAACGTACATTCACACAAGTCGTTCCATATGCTTTTCAACATATTTACATAAATGCTCTAAATTCTAGTGACGTAGTAAAGTCAGTAAACATTACAACTGTTGCTTAGTTTCCACTGACGTGGCTGGTTTACCCAATACGTTATTTTTGTAATCTCCATACTGCACTGTAAAAGTTTTGGTTAATTAACAGAAGTATGTCCATAAGGCAGCAGCTCTTCTCTATTTTCTGGCCTTCTTTTCTCAATGTGTCTTTTTGTCGCTGTAATCTTCCTGTTCCTAGTTCAGTGAAATTAAGTTTTCTTTTTCAATATTGTATGTGAGTATTTTGACTTTTTTATTTCCATTTTAATTTTAAATAATTAAGAGTACTTAATCTACTGTTTTGTCAAAAATACAATAAATGAATTAATTTGAAATTAAAATAACGTTTTTTTTTTCGAATCTTTATTAACAGTCATTAGCAATGGTGTGATATTCTCAGGTAAAACTAAACCCCGTGGTAAATATTGTGTCCGCAAATTGGGGTTTTTGGATTTTCTAAAAATGTGTAAGTACGTCTGACTCGCCCACAAGTAAAAAGAACGAGACAAATATAGCACGTGTATCACTCAGAACGAAGACGTTGAAGAAAAAAAACACTTTTGAGGTCGGTTATCTGTGTAAATATCTCGTAGCGAAGACAGAACTTCCTATGACGATTTTAACGATGTAATTTAATCACATTCTACTTTTCCTTAAATATCATATAATATATTTAGTAATTATATTCAGGTTTGTTTTTTTCGTGCAGTGTCTACATGTAATCAATCACATATTTGTTAACCGAATGATGAAAGGTAGTAAACATGATCTAATCCTTTTGTTTAGATAAATGTTATGCTCGCACATTCAAAAAGGTGATAGAGACCTCTACATGATTTTAATATATTTATTTGGAATGATCATTAATGTATGTAATTTAAAGTTTGTGGGAAACTGTACTAGGACCACGGTTTGGCTATAAAAATGTGGTAGACACACAATACTCGTTCTCTCTTCGCCTCTGTGGTGTATTAACTTGAATCTTGTCATGTAGAGGTATTTAGGAGGCCTTCTCTCCTACTCCTGCAACCAGTGAAGTATCAGAAGAAAACAAAAGCCAACCATTATGAAAAGACATAAATTATGTGTGTGAGTAAAACAAATTTTGTTTCACTTGTTTGTTGTGTCATTTGTTTTACTTTGCTGACTGTGCTCGAACTAAACTTTCAGTAACATTTCCTAGACTTTCTGTATTGCGGATACATTTAGTTACTTAACTTTCGAGATTACCACATAATCACCGGGCAAGGTATGAGCAAGACTAACTTTGTTTAGGATTATATTTAATCTTAGCTCCATGAGGATCTTCCCAAGTGCCACGTCATTAGGAAAAACTAACTAACATAAAAGTAAAACAAAGGTTTTTTAACATCTCTGTCCATAACCATAAACATCCCAATATGACCCGCTCTACGACTATCCAGCACACAAACCAAGTACATAACAGACAAGGTCTCTGCTTACACCTATACGTGAAGAGACAATCTTAAGATCAAGATCAGCGAAGTTCAAAATGGGTACGTGCATCTCCTGTTTGTCTGTTTGTATACTAAAAATTGCAAAAAAAAAAAGAAAAGAAAAAAGGTGTATACATATTTTAAACTACATAAACGTTAATTAGTTAGGATATCTACAGGATCGGACGTGGTTCATAGTTGGTTGCCGAAAACGTATTCCACCTTTTATGGATATGCTTTAATTGACAATCAAATCCTGATATTCTATCAGACAATAGAAAACCAGGAGTTAACGGTAGGTGCTGTTGACTAGTTGCCTTCCCTCTAGTCTGTAAATTCTAAATTAGAAACGGCTTTGCCCAGATAGCCATTTTAGAAGATTTGCGTGAAAAGTACGAAACAAACACGTGGTATCTACAAAATACAATGGTACAGAATTGTCATTATTAGCTTCTCCGTGAAGTAACAACATTGAAACAAAATATCCTAACACTTATTTGGACGGATGGCAAAAAACTGGAACAAAATAATAAAGTTTGAATATCTTAGCTGAAAGTATGTTCATGAAAAAAAAAAGAAAAATACGTATGAAATATCATTGAGGTCTGTAATGGACATGTTTAAATGCAATCACTTTCAGCCATTAAAGAACAAATTACACCACTTCTTACATATGAGAGGGAGTGGTAGTTATGAGCTTTGTTAAGCTCTCATATTTCAAAGCAAACTGCAACGTTTTAAAGATTATACAGTAAGCATGGGTTTGAATCAAATCACTACCATTCTGTCGTATTCCCCAGCACCTTTCTATTGAAGTTTCTTTTCACTTATAACATCTGTTCAAATCACTACCATTCTGTCGTATTCCCCAGCACCTTTCTATTGAAGTTTCTTTTCACTTATAACATCTGTTCAAATCACTACCATTCTGTCGTATTCCCCAGCACCTTTCTATTGAAGTTTCTTTTCACTTATAACATCTGTATTTTTTCTCTTTTCTACCTTTTCTATGTGTCTTCTTAACTCTGCTAGTTGTCCTTTACCAATTTACTTAACTTATCGTGCTAATTTATCATTCCCTGATTACCTTTCTGTATGTTTCTATACTGGCTTTCTTGTTTTATCCGAAACCACCAACCATTTTATATCTCTATTTTCTATGCTTTAAATTTGCTTTCTAATATGTATCATCAGTAAAACAATACGTGTCAACGCAGTATAACCATGACTGTATGTTTATTTTGTTCTAATCCACATAAGAGAAGGAAATGCCTTAATTCTGTGTCACCATGTCAATATGTGTCACATATTTTATTATTTTCCAAATAAGAATAAAAAGTGTGTCTACTCTGTGTAACCATGACAATATGAACCACCAGATTCTAATATCCCATAAAGAAGAAAATAATCTGTTAGTTCTGTGTAATGATGTCCACATGTCTCAAACACAAACAAAAAATGTTTGAAGTCTGTCTTATCACACCAATGCCTAAAAAAGGTTGCTATGTTTCATGCAGAAAGAAATAGGTTTCTCAATTCTGTGTTACCATCTAAATGTCTATCACTAGGTTGTTGTTATGTTTCAAATGGGAGATGTGTCTATTTTGTGTAGCCATATCAGTATGTACCACCAGGTTATGTTCATTAAAAATGGGTGTGTCCACTTTAATAAGTAACCATGTCAATATGTACTACTAGCTTGTAGCGTTCCATACAGATGATGCACGAGCTTTGAGTAATCACGTTAATATGAATTTCTGGACAAATAAAAGGTCTTAACCCTGTGTTACCATGGTAGTTTGTCTCACTTATTCTGTCAAGGAAGAAAGCTGTTTCAGTTAGTTGCAAAGTTGAGTTTTGCTCTTTTATTATATTAATCATTTCTATATTAATTTCAATATATAAAGTACAGTTAAATTTAAATATTTCAAATTTTTTTCCTGTGAGAAGTTACAAAAATAATGTTCTTACGTTGATACTGAGAAGATCGCCTTACCTTGTACTGTGTGCATTTTATGATTGGTCACTTGTTCACATATACTGGCGCTAGATGTCGCTTGCTTTGCATTACTGTCCATAGAATCGGGCATTCTTTTGCAGTTCGCTAAATTTAAATAAGAATGAATAGTACAGGTATGGATAAAAAAATTTTAAAATGCATATTTTTTCACATGTAATGTTAAGCTTTTTTTCGTATTAAATTATTAGAGCATCCACCTGAGAAGGATACAGAAAAGATAAACATATGAATCGTAAGATAAAACAAATATAAATATATAAGTAACAAATGTAGTTTTTTAACCGAAATAATTCAATTGGCAACACAACAAAGTAGCTTCGAAATGGATTCATATTATTTTATTATATGTACACAGAGTTGTTGAATTTCATAATATTTGTAATTTCAGGCACATAATACACTAAAGCTATACCAGTGTGTTTATTTTGGTGTATGCCACAGGGTACATCAAAACTATAACAGTACATGCCTATTTTGGTATATGCCACAGGGTACATTAAAGCTACAACAGTGTAAAAAATATATATATATATATTTCCAAGCCCGTTCCCTTGGCTGTGGTTTCGCTAGATAGTAGATAGGGACAGTGGGAATCTCGTTAATCCTTATAAATATATCCCTATTTTGATGTATGTCACAGAATACATCAAAACTATAACAGTATCTACCTGTTTTGGTGTTTGTCACAAAGTACATTACAACTGTATCCCTATACACCCCCCAGCGGCAGAACGATATGTCTGCGGACTTACAACGCTGGAAACTGGCTTTCGATACCCGTCGTGGTGGGCAGAGCACAGATAAGCAATTGTTAGCTTTTTGCTTAACAACAAAGAAATAAATAAATAATATTCCTATACATCTGTTTGATAGATGTCTCTTACATCAGTTAGGCTTCCATAACTAATCCCAAACAGTTTACGACTAACTATTGACGATCTTTCTTAATCATTATTTCATTACAATTCGTTGACTGTTATCAATGTACAATAAGAAACTTTATTCATACTATTACTCTTTTTTTTACAACAGAAATTATTTGTAAATTATTGTGGAGTTCTTCTCAGAGTGTCTCAGGACTGTATAGCTGTGTAAAATTATAATTTTAAATGCTCAGAAAAAACTGAAACTTTGTCCCGAAGCCATGAAACACGTGTGACCACTAAAATTTCCCTAACGGTTCATATATCAATGTGCTCCTAAAAAATAGTCAGCAAAGTGGAAAGTGAATTAAATAAGAGTAATGCTTCAAGAAATGGGAAAGATTTTCGTTGATATGCACCCACCATGGAACATGACACTGTAATAATAAGCATAAAGTAAGCTTAACTCGCATTCAACGTACTGTATACTTGTTCATGTGGCGTCGCGTCTGTGTGCCACTCATGCAGGAATAACTTCTAAGAGTGAAGTGTGTAACACTTGAAAAAAAAAAGACATGTTAAGTTGTATAAAGTCTACTTAATTTCACACGTACGGTATATAATGGGGTTATTTTCAAATCTATATAAATATAATAGTACTGTCTGTTGTCTCTTCATGTAACTGTTTCGCAGGGTGTGGATGGATATTCAACAAATTTGGTATGGAGGCTCATTAGGTCCATGGGGAGACACTTACAGTTTTGCGTTTTGCGATATTTATGAGAGTTTTTGCGTTTTTTACCACTCTTTCAGCCCCTGTTGATTGATCTTCACCAAATTTGGCATGTTGAGTCCATTCAGAGATGCATACAAATTTGTGATTTCACATTTTCTGTTTTGCAATTTTTATAGGCGTTTTCGCTGGGTGTACCGCATAAAATACATAGTGATTGGTCCCAAGATGAATAGCAAAAAGCAAAGCAATTGCATGGAAAGACCATCGCCTGAACGAACGTAGCAGTTCGTGCAGGGCTAAAGCTAAAGAAGGAAGTTTACAAGCTTTTAAAGGAAACCTATATCAAATGTAGCACAACTCTACTGGTAGGATTGTTTGGTTGTTATGAATTTCGCGCAAAGCTACACGAGGGCTATCTGCGCTAGCCGTCCCCAATTTAGCAGTGGAAGACACTCACCGCCAACTCTTGGGCTACTATTTTACCAATGAATAGTGGAATTGACCGTCATATTATAACGCCCCACGGCTGAAAGGGCGAACATTTTTGGTGTGACGGTGATTGGAACCCGCGACCGTAGATTGCGAGTCGAGCGCCCTAACCAACTGGCCATGCCAGGCCCTACTGGTAGGATATCGATTTCTATGCACTAATAA